GGTCATGCTACACGCTTTGCCAATTTGGTCTAGCTGTTGCACTACCAAGAAAAAAGCACTTCAAAGGATTCAGAACAAAGATCTGAGGATGATTTTGAAGTTGCCTCCTTGGTTCAGTACTACCGAGGTACATAGAATTTCGAATGTTGTTCTACATACTTTAGAAAAAATGTGATGTGTTGTGAATGGAACGCACCATCAGTGCAAGGATTACCAATGTCTGCAGATACTTTACCGGTTGTAAAGTTCTGCCTGATGGTTTGTTGCAGCAGGGTGAATCAGTTTCATTGAAGACCTTTGGAAGACAAAACGACCAGATGGCCATCTGTAATCACGTGACAAGAGATTGGCAAATCCACGAACCCTCGTCCAGTCAACAAATCCTTTGATTCCCTTGCGCTACCCCCACCCCGGGAATATAGGGGAAATGGTGCCCTAATTTGGGCCCATACATCAATTCAGCAATCGACTAAATTTTTAATAGCGACCAAAAATACCAATTAGTACCGTCTAGATAAAATACATAAATAGTAGATTTACATCCACCGACATTACATTAGGCCGACATTACATACATTTCCCCTGATATAATGTTTTAACATATATGATTTACAGTAATGTTCCAACACATGCTCAAAAATGTGCAGACCATTTGGCGTTTAATGATGATTTCAAAGACACTAAACATGGGATGCGAGGAGAAAACTCCATTAAGAATTTGTCAAATTTAAGAGAATCATGTAAATTTAGGGGGAGGTAGCTCATCGATTCTTCCGGTTCGCCTCCTAGCATCGTGCTATAAGGTACCAGGCGATAACCAGGGTAGTTGATCGATAGCTCGATGACGTCATTTCGTTGGCGTCTGCAATGGGAAATTCTCATAGCAGGCGTTGACGATGGGACGTTGTCGAGTTGTTGAATAGCAACTATCGTGGTAACTCACCGATTACCTGTCGATCTGCCAAATTTGGAAAGACGTCTGCATTGAATTGTCTCATATAATAATATTCCGCCCACTATATCACAAGAAATTGCGAGTAGCTGAGTGGAATGGAGATAAGTTAAGCATTGGGTACAGGACCAAGTCTCCCCTGGGTGGTGCCAAAGAATGAGCGCAATAGAATCATCAAGTTGCCATAAGGCACGGAATGAGACTATTGCATGGCTGGCTAGTCAAAGTCTTCCATTCGTTAGTCATTTCAGGTGGATTAGAACAGGTTTAGGTTTAGGGTGGGCGTTGGCCAGATTTGGATTTTTCAGATATAATCCTAAATAGGACCTAGATTATTTAATACACTAGTAACCTCAACTTCTGTCACAATGTTTCATTGTGACTAATCAACACTCAATGGGTAAAATATCAAATTTGCGGTAAATTTGAAAAAAAAGGGAACTTGGAGTGTAGAGTGCACTGCCCACTGGACGATTCTGAAGCCTGACCAAGTGAGTGGGTTACGGGTTTATTTGATTGTACGTCATTTCCAAGTTATATATAGATACATTCATACCATTGGCATTTTGTATTTGAGATAAGACAGAGACAGGATGCGGAGGGCCCGCTTAGGGGGAGCGCTGTTATGGCTTCCATTTATTAAATAGTTCAGATAGGCTGGAAATGATAGGTTCATGGTGAGAAAATGTACCATATGGTGCCCGTTCTCTGATCAAAATTAGATTCAAATCGTCAGGCCCTGCCCTGGAATAAGGGAATTGACGATGATTTGTCAAGTTTAATTTTGCATTTGCATATAATTGTAAGTTTAGGTTTGCTTTTGTAATTGTAAGATAGATAGTTTGCCTCAATTGAAACATTGAGTTAAACATGACGAATCATACCTCTAAATAGTAGTAGTTACAGTGCCGCATTATCTAACTTTTGTTTTGTTTGTTTACATATAACTAATACTAATACCTCCTTGTTTTCTCTCTAATTTGTCTACTATGTCCCACTATCACGATGAGAGATGAGCTACCGTACATGGTACACGCGACATATACACTCCCAAAATAGTATGCCGCAAGTAAGTATATCACAGAGGCAACTAAAGATCCAGAAACAAAAACCGAAAACGCTGAACGGTAGATTGGTTTACAGTGGTCGACCAAGGTGTGTGCTGATAAATTACAAAATTACAATTACATCATTATTCCATACATCAGCTTGAATTACGTTGATCGATATTACATTTTTTTTGCTGTGCACTACACCACCGGAGCCAGCAAAGTTCAACAATCCATCGTTGCTTATGCCTTTGTTGTCGTTTGGAACCAGTTTTGCGAGGTAGGTGACGATTGTGCGTATTTCTCGCGTAAATTTTGAAAAGGGCCTAGCCTGAACAATACGTAAAGAGCAAATTGAAACATTGTACGTCGCGTGAAAGTGGAACTTAATGAAGGCCTAAGTACTTTTTCGTAGTTTTTAGTTTTCGGATTTGAAAGATCGTCGGTTACAGTGGCCTGCTCATGAGTCTAATCTCAGGCCCATCCACAATCAAGATTCGTCAATCGTTTTATTTGTTAATATGACTACATGGTAATAACAGCAACTCGATGATTAAAAAGGTGCTCGTCTGCCTAGTGGCAAACGTTTTTGCTTACTGAGCAGAAGACCGTGGGTTTAGTCCCAAGCTCCTTCGCGTTATATGATCGTTAGGACATTAATTCAGCTTATCGTTTACCAAAACGTACCCTGCTGCAAACCCAACCCTCTTATCCAACATCCCAGTGATTCCTCGTGGAAGTGCAGAGGTGTTCTCGGCTTCCATCAAAGCGAGTGTCATGTCAACACAATCCTTCCCATTCCTTTCTTGACCTGTGTTCGGGCGCGGCCGGCGCTGGTATTGCCTAATTTAAGATCACCAGTTTTTACACATTGAGGATGATTGCTAGTCCCAAGCATCGTCTATTGGTTCTCTGTGTAATTACAGCTGATCTGGCAATAACAGAGTAGCAACCGTGGGCGGTCAATCAAGCTCAAGCTCAAGCTCAAGCTAAGAGAATCATGTAAATTTAGTTTGAATAGATAAAATCAGATACGATCTCACCAAGTTAGTCCAAATGAATCCACAGGAAGCATGCGTTCTAGGTTGCATTGTAGTTCCAATCAAAAATGGTTCGTAAACTAGTCCCGTCCAATGTAGAACCAGTTTGAAGTGTCCAAATGTAGTGATCCTCCGGCATGGGATAAAAGATTATCGGCTGTAATCGACTGCTTGATCCGAGTAAATGTAACCAAGTATCAGGTCCAGCAACTTGCGATTTCTTGACGCGACTACGACGAACAATGGAATATCTGGGTTCCAATAAAAGTTCCTCTTCGTTTTCGAAACCGTAAGTCAGTGGCAAATCACAGTCAGTATAGCAGCACGACGTACAGCCAGTTTTCGTAGGGGATAGGATGCAGTTCTCACAGAGCTTTTTCTGCATATATGGTTTAATTCCTGTTGAAACTGATAATCGCGTTCTTGGCCATCTTCGAAAATATTAATCGGATTAATAATCAAATAAGCATAAAAAAACTCCGAGAAAAAAAACGAACGTCATGTTCGTTCACACGCGCAGCCTACTCTGTTAAGACTTTAGAACTAATGTCCAAAACATACTTAATAATAAAGGGAGAGAGAGAGACGGATTAGTAATTTCCATTTAATTCCACTACCCACTAAGATGCCCAAATTCATCAGGATAATTAATAATTTGAGGAAAATATCGTTACAATTTGCAATTCTCAGTTGCAACGATTAATTCCCTAGATAAGATTTATTTTTAATTTTAGTTTGAAGATGACAATAGTTATACTGATAGCGGAAAAATCTACTTCAACCTAATCGCCGCCCATAAGCCACCAGAAGCAGTTTTACATTTTCAACAACAATAGGGAACCCACATTTCATAAGAATATCTCATAGAAAGTCAAGCGATAGCCATTTGAGGGGTATATCAATTTCACCCAATATTTTTTTTTTCTGATTTGAGATTTCAAAAATGCAAAAACTGAACAAAACACTCAATTTAATAAGTAATAATGTGGAACGATAGCATCATCCTAGCCTATTGATTTTAATACCATATGTATGTCAAGTTTCTCTAATGTAAGAATTCATTCCCATATTTACGCTTTATGTGATCAATTTGCCCCCGCATTACGGTATTTAATTTAGAATTGCGTTTATCCGCTTTGTTTCAATGCTACATTTAAACATCCATGAATTATTAATCATTCAGCAAACAAAAAGAACTCAGCCATGCTATCAGTTATCGATGTCCCCAAAGACCTTCATTTGCAATGAATCAAAGCTAATTTGCTGACGGATGTCTAACGTCAACTCAACAGTTGATGACCGACAAGCTTAGATATATTGGCAGACCTCAGACTAAGTCAGAATTTCAGAGTTAAACTTTATGATTGAACGTAAATTAAATAACGAAACTGCCCCCATTCGGTAAGGGGTTTTCTTCAGTTTTAAAGTTAAATTGCAATTACCAGCATTTAGGATTGTTACTTAATATTGCAAAATGACCTCGTTGAACTATATCTAGGGAGAGATCGAAGATTTCCTACCCATGAGCAAATTCAAACCCAGACGATGTCGCAACGGCTATACTCACAACAGCCAAAAATCCCAAACAATAGCCAGCGATTAATCTAATTTAACCGATTACCACCTAAACACAACATCTTGACAGAAATTAATCAATCAAATGCGGAGCGACCCACGCATGCATCATCATTTGAATGGCCGTACACGGTTTTCCATTAGTAATATGCTCCAATTTTCATGCTCGGTTTAGATTTCACACTGCACCGGCAGTCCCCAGTGGACTGCCACCGACCGACCGACCGACCGACCGACCGTTAAGCACGCCGATGGACAATCGGATGGATGGGTCAGGTTGCTTCAAACTTTTGCCACCATCCACCCGGCCTCTCACACTAGCGAGTGATATGTACCTACGGATGAGGTATACCAAATAGCCACCGCATTGAACTAGTAACTCACCTGTGCCGCCACTATGATGAAAGCACACCACCCGACGTGACGTAACCTGAAACAATAAGAAATATTTGTTTTTATTAGATTTTTGCAGTTTGGTCGTTTTTCTTCGGCGCTATCTTCTCGAACTGGACGGACACATCAGTTTTTCCCTCTCTGTAGGCATACCTGGGTCTCTTTCTTTGAATCTGCAGAGTTGGTTGCTTGCGAGGATTCATGGGGGTGCATTTTGACATGATGAGGAATGGCCCAAGGAGACATAAGCGGATAAGCCCGGATCGTTCAGTAGCTCGATTTGAGCCAGATAATTTCGAGGCGGAGATTTGCAACCTTTCGCGAGCGGATATTATTCAAGATTTCTAAGTAATGGGTCCGCTCAGTGTGCGTAGCTACTGCAGGGGGGGCATCATCAGCTCGCACAGTTGGATTATGTGAAATTACAGAGGAAAACCATCATCAACTTTCAATGATTGGATGCACTTTTATGGCGGGAAAAATCCGATCACCATTTTGGCCAGATTGCAAATTCAAAGAAATCCGATCATAAATCTATGGCAACATTGTGTTGAATTTTTCGCAATCACTAATTTGATAGTATTGATCATCAGTGACCGAGTTTCGAAATCCATTGATTCTCATAAAACTTGCTGGCATTCCGATCTTAGCACTTACAAATGTTGCATGATGCAAATGTTCGCTAGCACTTAATATTTTCTATCAGTTTCCGCCCAGCTCGCAGCAGCGAATGCAAAACGTGATCGACACATGGAGTAGAAGCGCAGCCAGTTTCGAGTTTGAGAATGGGATTAAAAATTCAACGATCGGAATCTTACTTTTCGAGGAAGGCAATCACTGCACTGTTGTTATGAGTAGTAGTCGGCATAATCACGACACAAAAAAAAGTGGCAGAACCTTGCGAACTTTAGTTGGCAATTTCCATCCGGTTCAGCAGCAATTGCAGCTCACAGAGTGCAAAAGTGGTTCAGGAGACGATCGCACGATTTGCGCTTGATCGGGTTCATGCCGAATTCAGTCGGGTGGAAAAGAGGATCGCTGCTGACGCTATCATGGTTGAACCTAACACCATTGCGTGGTCGCTTTGCCCCAGTAATCAATCAGAAAGCGCCTCCGGTGCCATCTGTTTGTCCCGTTTTTTTTTCGCTAGCTGTCTAGTTTGTGGTTCGCATAGTAGCAATTTATATCTTTTTAGCATAATTTCCACTGGTGTTGATCTAGTTATTTTGTGGCGTTTTTGTGGATTAGTTTTTGTTCAGGTGGTTTTCAAAGGGTGGTTAATTTTATGCTTGCATAACCCTCAAGGCTGTCTGTCGTCTTTGAAGCGAAGGAATCGATTTTGAGGTCGCAATTGTGGAATGATATCAATCTTTATTGTTCACTAGTATGATCTCAAAATGGATCGTCGCTCCGTAGTTTGGTGTCCATTTCAAGCAACTTGGATATTATCGAATGAGTTCTAGAGAAATGTGTACGACAGGCTTTACGCAAAATGCACTAAACCTAATGTAAGAATTTATGCCTAATGTAAGGAATTGACAAACAAAAATTAACTCTGTATATGTTCAAAATTCAAATTAAATTACATTTTAACCTAGGTGCTCCGGCTACTACAGTAACTTATCAGTCTAAATTGTTATGATATGTATCTAAGTGTGTTTACATTGTTCCTCCTTGGGCAATTCAGTATTTTAATCAGGTTTTACCTGCATAGGGGTAGCTACCCCATTCCCGGCCTATTAAGCACAGCCCGCACTTAGTATTTCTTAATCTGGCGTTGTTTAACACCAAACGGCTTTCAAATTTACCTTTCCATATGTACCGTTAGTTCTGATAAGGGGTCGAGAAATATTTGTTTATTGTTGAAAATGTAAAACTGTTTCTGGCGGCTCATGGGCGGTGACTAGGTCGAAGGAGATTTTTCCCCTATCAGTATAACTATTGTCATCTTAAAACTAAAACTAAAAATCTAAATATAAAGGGAATTAATCGTTGCAAGTGAGGATTTCAAATTGCAACGATATTTTACTGAAATTATTAATTATTTTGTCGGACATTTGTTCTAAAGTCTCAACATTCGAAATTCTATGTACCTCAGTAGTACTGTACCAGGGAGGCAACTTCAAAATCATCTTAAGAACTTAGTGCTGAATCCTTTGAAGTGCTTTTTTCCTGGTAGTGCAACAACAAGACCATATTGGCACAGCGTAAAGCATGGCCGGTCTAACAACTTGTTTAAATATTAGAAGTTTATTCGTCAGGCAAAGGTTGGATTTCCTGTTTATAAGAGGATACAAATATTTTATATATTTGTTACATTTGGCTTGAATGCCCTCAATGTGATCTTTAAAAGATAATTTTTGGTCTCGTACTAATCCAAGATATTTCACTTGGTTTGACCAGGAAATAGGAACTCCGTTCATAGTGACTATGTGACTACTACTAGGTTTCAAAAAGGAAGCTCTAGGCTTATGTGGAAATATTATAAGTTGAGTTTTGGAAGCGTTGGGAGAAATCTTCCATTTTTGTAAATAAGAAGTGAAAATATCTAAACTTTTCTGCAGTCTGCTGCAAATAACACGAAAACTTCTTCCTTTAGCGGAACCTAAAGATTTGTGGCAACCCTAAGGCAAATCAGGGAGGTCCGAAGTGAAAATGTTATACAATATAGGCCCAAGAATGCTATTATGAGGAACTCCTGCTCTAACAGGTAGTCGATTAGATTTGGAATTTTGATAATTTACCTGCAGAGTTCTGTCCGTTTAATAATTTTGAACTTATTTCATAATGTAAAGTGGAAAATTAAACTTTTTTCAATTTAGCAATCAAAACTTCATGCCAAACACTGTCGAATGCTTTTTCTATGTCTAGAAGAGCAACTCCAGTTGAGTAGCCTTCAGATTTGTTTGAACGAATTAAATTGGTAACTCTTAAGAGTTGATGAGTAGTTGAATGCCCATGGCAAAATCCAAACTGCTCATCTGTAAAAATTGAGTTCGTATTAATGTGATGCATCATTCTATTTAAAATTATCTTTTCAAAAAGTTTACTTATTGGACGGTAGCTAGAAGCTTCAGCTGGATTTTTATCCGGCTTCAAAATTGGAACAACTTTTGCATTTTTCCATTTATCTGGAAAGTATGCCAATTGGAAACATCTGTTAAATAATTTTACCAAGAAAGACAAGGTACTCTCTGGGAGTTTTTTAATGAGGATATAGAAAATTCCATCATCACCTGGGTTTTTTCAAAATTTTTGTGAGTTTCCAAAAGGGTTTGGAACTCGGGTCTAATTTAGAAACATTATTTTCAAAAGTTTTGTTCCTCAAGGCAGAGAATCGTTTTTAATTTGTTTTTGCAAATCCCGCCAGATAACTTTCATGGCAGGATCGCGTGTTCTTTGATATTGTCTCCAACGGACATTTTTCAGACGGATCAAGAGCTGAAGATCGTCGTCTATTATAATTGAATCGAATTTTACTTCGCATTTTGGTACTGAGGCAGCTTTTGCTTCATCTAAAGGGTGATACGGTCAAAATTTGGTCAATATCAACTTGACGTATTTCTTTCAATTTTGCATTTAAAAAACCTGAACACCCCTCATTTTGAAGGTGTGTGTGTGTAGAATGTTGCTCCTATTTTGATTTTGGAATTCACTCTTCAGTTGTCAAAATGCCGTCCAAGCAAGAAGAGCAGCGTATCAAAATTTTGCTCGCGCATCGCGAAAATCCGAGCTACTCGCACGCAAAGCTGGCAAAATCGCTAAAAGTTGCCAAATCAACCGTTACAAATGTAATTAAAGTGTTTGGGGAACGTTTGTCGACAGCCAGGAAGTCTGGATCGGGGGGAAATCGAAAACTGGAAGCCGCTGAGACGACAAAGAGAGTTGCCGGTAGTTTCAAGCGAAACCCTAACCTCTCTCTCCGAGATGCCGCAAATAAGCTGGGTGTATCGTCTACAACCGTGCATCGAGCCAAAAAACGAGCCGGACTATCGACTTACAAGAAGGTAGTGACTCCAAATCGCGATGATAAACAAAATACGACGGCCAAAGCGCGATCCCGGAGGCTGTACACGACGATGCTGACGAAGTTTGACTGCGTGGTAATGGACGACGAAACCTACGTCAAAGCCGACTACAAGCAGCTTCCGGGACAGAAGTTTTATACGGCAAAAGGAAGGGGAAAGGTAGCAGATGTTTTCAAGCACATGAAACTGTCAAAGTTCGCAAAGAAATATCTGGTTTGGCAAGCCATCTGTACCTGTGGCTTGAAAAGCAGCATTTTCATAGCTTCCGGGACTGTCAACCAAGAAATTTACGTGAAAGAGTGTTTGAATAAACGTCTGCTGCCTTTCCTGAAGAAACACGGTTGTTCCGTACTGTTTTGGCCGGATTTGGCATCTTGCCATTACGGTAAAAAGGCCATGGAGTGGTACGCCGCCAATAACGTGCAGGTGGTTCCCAAGGACAAGAACCCTCCCAACACGCCAGAGCTCCGCCCAATTGAGAAATACTGGGCTATTGTCAAGCGGAACCTAAAGAAGACCAAAAAAACTGCTAAGGGAGAGCAGCAGTTCAAGGCAAACTGGCTTTCTGCGGCGAAGAAGGTGGCAAGGTGGCTGTACAAAATCTGATGGCAAGGGTCAAGTGTAAGGCCCGGCAATTCGGATTTGGAAAAGCGGAAGCCTAACTGAATATTTTTCCTGAATTGTATACTAATTGAACTTGAAAAAGAAATTTAATTTGATTTTTTAAATAAACGATTTCACAGATTTACACGCGTTTTTCCTTGACCAAATTTTGACCGTATCACCCTTTATAGAAGTAGTCAGAGATTCAAGAGCATAATTAACATCATCTTTGGTTTGCAAAGGAATGTTTGAATCTTATAGTTATATGAGTTACATTCCATAAATGTTCGATATTGCTTCCAATCAGTTCTATGATAATTGAAAGTACACAGATAAAAATTCTAAATTTTAATAGTGATGTAAACATTCATTCACGTAAGCTTGTATTTCATTTTACGCAACCGAG